TTAGAGCAGTGGTTCCCAACCTGGGGGGCGCCAAAGATTGCAGGGGGGGCGCCAGGCCTCAGATGATTTGAGGCCAAATATCATATTTATAATTTTCTTTTTCTAAAAAAAAAATGTTTACATATAATTGTAACGCAATACATGATTGTCACTAAAAGCCTTGTCTCTACATTACAATAAAATATAAAAAATAATTGATTAATTAATTTGAATAAAAATCGAAGTTAGTAGCTATTAAAGGCATAAAAAGACAGAAATGTATAATTCTTTCTTTAATAGAAATCTTTCTTCTGCCCGTAAAGTGTCCCAACCAGGCTTTTCTGGATAAGCACATTTTTAAAACATAGCCATCGTCCATGCCGGTTTCAGATTATTTGTCACAGTTGCTCCGATCAGATCGGTCTCCTCCATTTTGTAGATTATTTACGACTTTTGAATCCACATAAACACATCGGCAAAATCCAGCTTACTTTGAGCATGTGTTTTAAACAGTTTAATCCCTTTGTGAATTGTTTCCACTTGCGTCGTCCTTTAATTTCTTCATACAGCGGGAATCCTAATGAATCCAATAACCATCAAAGTCACTCCAATAGTGCTCCTTAATTACGCTTTCATTCTCCTTTAACAAAATACTTCACATTCATCCAGTTTCAACAGGAGTCATTTGGGGGGGGCTCTTGGGGAAAAAGGTTGGGAACCACTGTTTTAGAGCAGGGTACCTGGGTAGTTCCTGCAGCCCCCGGCCGAGCAGCCCCTCACCCAGCGGCCCTCGTTCACCGACACCGTCCACTTGTGGATCTTATCGTCCTCCAGAGCGTCCGGGGTCAGGTTACAGATCTCGATCTTAGTGTAGTTCTTCTTGAAGTCCTCGAAAGACATCCTGGAATAAACATGGGGACACCATGGGAATCAAGGTAAGACGTCCACACTTCAAAACCACAACTCTTACACTTTCAAATTCAGATGTACTGCATTTCTTTTTTTCAACGGTTTTCAAACTGTTCTCACCAGAACTCTCCGTCCTCTGCGCTCTGATGCTGCAGCTTCTCTTTCTCCGTCTTAGAGAGCGTCGTCCAGTCCTTAGAGCTGGGAGAGGAAACATGCATAAAGTAAGGATGTAAACAAACTGGAATTTAAAGGGTTAAAACTCTCAAAATTAATACGCATTTGGTAGTAATGATAAGGGCTAAAGTGGAAACATTTATTGATAAATGATATTTCTATTTAGGTTTTAGGTGGAACAATTCTTATAAGGACTTCAGAGTAGTTTTTATTTAAAGTGAGGCACAAGATTTAAGACATGACACTTCATCAAACTCCAGCTCCTAGCTCAAAAGGCTGAAAATGAATATATATATATATTTATTAATGTAGTGAGAGGCGGTTACTTGTCGCTCCAGGGTCCGTTCCACTCCACCTGTCCCCAGGGGTTCCTGAGACGCACCAGACGCACCTTAGACTCTTTTAGCTGAGACGGCTTGCACTAAGGGACGACATTATCACATGTAAACAACCTGGCATTGGGACTGTGTGTGTGCAGCTCTGCAGGACACAGGGGTAAACACTATCCGAGATAATTCAATTACAAAAGATATGTATTTCTTGTTCACCTCCTCCACGGCGGTCACAGAGTAGGCGTGGCCCTTCACGAGTCCCGTCACCGTACGAGTCTCAAAGCGCGCAGGAACCAGCGACTGTAGGCACAAAATACACACCTTTATATTGCATAAATATGAAAAACAACACTTTATTTAAAGGAAAACTCTGAACTAATAAGTAAAAATTATAAACACATGAGACATTTTAGCTTATTACCTAGAAAAAACCTTTTGATTTGCCCTGATTTGTTTTTATGTCTTGATACATATACACACACTTATTCCACTTTTTTGCAATAAATCAGAATTTCTTGAGATTTTCTAAAGGCTCTATAATCTTAATTTGTTCAACCATCTTTAACCCATAGAGATACAGTTGCTAAAAATCATATAGTGGCAGACAGGAAAGAGTAGAAACCACACAAAGTTGGTAAGTACACATAGTATAACTAATTAAATGAGTTGGCCCTAGATGCCTGGACATATCAAACGTTATTAAATGAACATTATCCAGTCTTTCTATAAAAAAGTATAAACAGGTACATATAGATATAGTTAAATATATGTCTGTGTCCAGAGTCAGAACATAGAGTGCAGGTAATATAGAAAGGTTACTAGCCATTCATCATTAGGCGCGTTCACACCAGAGTACTTTTCCCATTTGGTTCCGATAGTGCCTGGAATTTTGCGTTCACACCAAAAAGAGAACTTAGTTCAGAGAACTTTTACAACCATTTTTAGCGCCTGCTAGAGAGGTGGTACTTTCCTGGGGAGAAAAAAGTACCAATTTCGATTGGCTGGGCGAATTGCGAACCACGCCCCGTAAAACTCTGAAAAGTTTTGTGGCATTAGCATTATTAGCATTAGCATTAGCCCCGCGCACCAACCGAGAGAGAATAACTTATGGCAACACAAAAGAAAACATGGGAGCGGTGGAGATGAGGAGGTGTCGGTGTTCTGGCGATTTACTCGGAAGACTTCTGGCCGGGGACTTCGGGTGGCAGTATACGCCGTGAAGTTGTTTGCGGCCTGCCAGTAAACCCAAAGCAGAAGAAGAAGAAGTGACATCAGTGGCTTCATTTGCATAATCTTCCCTCAGGGAACCTATTCCGGTGTGAACGCGATCTGTACTTAGTGCCATCGGGGCACCAAGCGCTGGGCACTAAGCGCTGGGCACCAAGCGCTGGGCACCAAGCGCTGGGCACTAAGCGCTGGGCACCAAGTGCTGGGCACCAAGCGCTGGGCACCAAGCGCTGGGCACTAAGTACGGCAAAGTACTTGGTGTGAAAGCGGCTAT